CACTCGATTGATCAACTTCACGATTCGACCAAGTTTAGCTTTCCTCGAATGAAATCTCCGTTGTTTCATGTCCTCGAAGAAGATGAAAATGGTGCATTACTTCAATATAAGTAAGATCGCTTTCATTCGTAATGACAAATGTAATTATCTTTAGATCGCGTCGACGTGGTTTTCAACGATATATCGTCGGTCAACTGAAAGAATGTGGATCACGATTCTATCATGAAGAGATCTATGTTCGCATTCAAGAAGATCTTTCTACTAACGAATGTGAATGAATAGTTCATTCTTTTCTTTCATTTCGTAAAACACAATTTCACCATTTAGATACACGTATTATCTTTCGTGTTGACTTTAATAATTCAGCGGCAAAAGAAACATCGAAACGTCTGCATTGTTTTCCTAATCTCCCTGACATTACAAGTGACACATTCTTCAAAGTCTTTCCATTTTGTGTTCTGTTCGATCCATCAATGCGCATTACTCATATGGGAAAGTCAATCAAAAGTCTCTTCCCCTACGACACTGTTGTCAATGGACGACACCTCGATGAAATCTTTCGCTTAATTCGACCAGACATTCCGTTGGAATGGAGCAATGTAATTCAATTCGATCTTTTCTCACATTCTTCTTCTTCTTCTTCTATTTCTCTTGGTTTAGATGCTCAGCTATGGTCGACATATCGTGTTCCTCATGGAAAGTCGAATAGCACTTCGATCAGATAAAGGAACAAAATCCAATGATGGTACAGTGACGAAAAAACCTAAAACAACAGCAGGAATGACTGGAAGTTCAGCAATTCGATTGAAAGGACAAATGAAATGGATAAGTAGTTGGAATATGATGGTTTTTCTCTGTCATCCCATGTAAATCTTTTTCTTATTTCAATTCTGTTAACAATACTTTCTCATAGATTATCAACGACTGAAGAAATGATGAACATTGGATTGACTCTACACGATCTCAACTTCTACGATGGAAGTAGTGAGATTCTAATTGCAGGTATGCAACATGCAAGACAGTTACAAGCGGCTATTGACAAAGTATGTCATGAATACATGTGCAGTGAAAGAACATCGATTGCGTTTTTATTCATCAATCTCTGATTCATTTCAGCAACATGCCTGGATTTCAAAACTACAAGCAACAAAAGTTGAACTACAAGAATGGCGACGAAAAGGCAAACGACTTCTTTATTCGATGATGCCACGTCATATAGCACAAATGTTACAACAAGGCATTGTTGCTAATTCTATTTGTGAAGTAA